CCTCCCTCAGGCGGGAGCCGGCCCTGCCTGCGTGCTCCGACCGCTCACGGCCGGTGCTCCCTAACCTCGCCTCGGCCGGCCTGCTCGCTGTTGACTGCGGGGTAGTTGCAGGGAAGGCCTCACAGAGCCGTTACCTGAGAAAACAAGTGCCCCCTCAGGGCTGAGGAAACTAACCCTGCCTCCCTGGGTTTGGCCCTGGTGGCTCTGAGTAGCCGCCGAGCTGCTTGCCGCCTACTGAGGAATCCTTTTACATGGTGCATCCTATGGGGAGCTCGACTTGAGGGATGTTGTGCTTCTAGGAAGCAGCTTGCTCTGCTCCCATCTGCGGCTCCTATTCTCCAGACAGAAACTGGGTATTCCGGCGTGGGGCAGCCGTCTGCAGTAACCACGCTGTCTGGCCGCCTGCCTAGAAGAATGACCCAGGCTGAGTGATTATGTTGGAAGAAGCCAGATTTTGGCTATAATGAACCACAACAGCAGCCCAGCTCTATGAAGAGGAGTGGCGTTGTGTGTGTGTGCAACAGGGAACAAGTGCATTAATCCAAAACCAGAATGACCGTACAAGGGAAGAAATGAGACAACATGAAAACCTAGGTATTGACGTAAATCTGTTCTTGCAAGTGATCTGTATCCTTGCAAACAATGTAATAAGCCAGTTTATTGGAAGGCAACCCCACCCTATTTACAGCTTCTCCCTAGTAACAAGTTACAGTGGTTTTAGAAAGACAAGCATTTGCTCTGAGGCTGAGCTTGGTTTGGACGTACCCACTGGCAATCAGAAGAAGTGTGGGTGCATTATAACTAACAAATTCTTAAAGGAATTTTCTCTTCCTGTGACTTCCATCACAGTTGAGATCCATCAAGTGCTGCTTCGACAGATATTTTGTCTGAGTTGCTCACATTCCTTCATTACCTCTTTCCTGTGTGAACTTTTTGGCCTAGAAACAAATGTCCCCTCCCCTTTCCTAGAGTAAGCTCTTACAGGAGTGGGTGACATTTATGGAGTTAACGTCTAACTTAGCCAACTGGCCTTCACTAAGGTTTGTCTATAGTTAATGGAAAGAATGAGGTTCCTTCAGACATCAAGTGAAAGCACCTTAAGGTTTAGCTCTTTGATCTTCATCTGGTGGGGTCACTCTTGCTTCACTGAATGCAAGATGAGCAGGCAAACTTAGACTGGTACCTAAAGTTAGCAATAAAAACACTTTTTAGAGACCAGATACTTGATTCCCCCATCTTCCTTCAATGAAGTAAAACAAAGGGATTGTATGGACTGAAATACACATGTACTGATCAGTGCTGTCAGCCAGTCTTGCTGTCAAAACAGCAGGATCATTTTGCCAGTGGGTTTTCTCCAGATTTTCAGCCTGTTCAGAACTCGGGGCAAATGAGCCTTTTTTATTTCTCTGAGATTTTACTATTTTCAGCTCTCAGCCCAATTAGCTCCATTGTTCCTCTGGCATGGAAACCAGAGCTGAACATGTGGGCCCTGGTGACATGATCCTTGGTACGGAAGGGCAGCATGGTCTGCACTCTCTTGAGGCTAACACTGGCTCGGGCAGCTGCAAGCTGCCCTGAGGGCCATCCCCTTTCAATCTCACTGCAGTGAATGAAAACATTAGTATCCTTAGTTATCCGCCTCGTCCTGTGTTGGAGCTTGCTGCTCCTGCAGCAGAGTCAGCAAAGGGAAAGCAGGCCTGTACCTTGGCTGCTCCGTCCTGCAGTCAATGTGCATTTAACATGAAGAAGAGTCTGCACAAGGATGCTAAACTGGAAACTAGACTGTCTACAGTGTGGGCATAGTAGCAGTTCTAGCAGAGGTGCATCACAAAACTCAGGACAGCGATGTCCTAAAACACTGAAGCTGGACGTGGGTCAAAGCCTTGGTATGTGCTGGGTCAAACTATTCTTTAAATCATCTGTTTTGTCCTAATGTAAAACTGTTTGGTTGGAAGTACAGAGCTGCCTGAGATCTTTAAAGTTTTAAAGGAGCTTAAAACAAGTTTTCTTGGCTAGCAGCTAATAGAACTTGCTGAGCTTTTGGTCTCATTGTCTTTGCCATCAGAAAGATCCCATACTTGGTTTTGCTAACTGGGTGCCAAACACTTTGCCAGGCTACGGCTAATATTAACAATCTAAAGTGAATCACATAGTTGAACAGCCACAGGAAAATGTGTGCAAGTCCTGCAATAAAGCCTTTTGGCTATTTTATTTTGTTCTACAAATAAAGACAACTGTCCATCATCAAATGGAAAAAAATAATAGTTTGAGTTGTATATAGCATGAAACAGTAGTTCCTTTCACAAAAACATTTCTAATTCATTAGTTTATTACAAAATATCCACTCACAAAAAAGCACAAGCACAATCTTTATACTTGTGAAATGAGTTGATATTTCATATACAAAATAATTTCCACATAATTCCATATAATTTTATTTTATATAGAAATAGGTCATTATTACAACAGCTGTACAATACACTACTTTTTTTTTAATAATTACATAAAATCTTTCTTAGAAACATATCAACAGAAAACATACAAAAAAAGCGAAAAGTGCATTTCTTTTTTTCCCCCCAAAAGGAAAATTCAATCCTAAATGTTATAATGAAAGAGATATGTAATAGTCTGCAGCATCCCAAGTCAGTGGGCCAAAACACAGTGCATATTTCTCAGAGACTTGCAGTGGGTGAGTTATTTAGGTTGGAGAAGGATCCATGTTGTACTGTTGGAGAGTTGCATGATTGTGCTTACAATTTGAGTTCTCCTTTGCAATCACAAGCCATACAGAAAACAGTCCAGTGTGGGTTGTGGGTTTTTTTTTTGTTTGTTTGTTGTTTAGAAATGAAGAACAGTTAGGGTAAGCTGCATAATACTTTTCAGATTCTAAATCAAGGGTTATGAGCTGTAGACCATCTTCACCAATGACTGGGCTTTCTCCTCCATTGGATGTGCTAATTTGGCCACAAGAATAAGGAAACAAACTTCTCTTTACAGAAAGTGCCTAGGTTTTGTCCTCTGTGCAGTTGTGCAAAATAATAACAATAATCATAATAAAAATAATCTCTTGTTCTCTCCTCAATAGACCTTTGACGCAGTGCTTTTCATACACAAAAGAAGAACTGAAACAGTGAAGGCCAAGTACCTCATGAGTCTGTCAACAGTCTTTTGGAATTGCCAGATAGCTTTCAGACTGACACGCCAAGACTGAATGCCGCCTCCTGCGCACCCATTGATGATGGAGGCTGCACAGGGTAGTGTTCCTTTTTATTTTGCTCTGTCAGTACATACTGCGCTCATAAGACAGCGCAAACTGAATCCAGCATGCCGTAAATGCACTGCCTGTGGAAGTCTTGCACTCTGTGGCGTACTTCCATCCTAGAGCTTTGAAAGGAATGCTTGTGCAAAAGCCAAAACAGTAAGTACAAAGTCATTCTCTTCTGCCCCATGTGTCCATTGGTTAAAGCTAATCGTGCATTGATTGTGCTGGTGGGACTCTATCGCAGTGGCTGTGGTAAATTTGATGATTCTGATAAGCTATTGCTTCTTCTTGATGTTAGTTGCTGCTGCTGCTGCTGCTGCTGTGTCTGATGATACCCCATATTTCCTTGCTGTGGTGAGTAAGATGGCAGGAGCAAAGAATCGGGTTGCTCATTGTGCAAAGAACTTGGTGTTGGCACCTACAGATAAAATACAATTCATCGTGGCGTTTGATTCTTTCACATGTTAAAGCTCTTCATCCTCAATGTACAAGGTGCTTAAAAATACCAGTAGTTTGCTGGCTTTTATTTCTGGGGCTGTTTGGCATGGGGTTAGCTTACCTAATGCTAGAAGGAATGGACATAAATTGCAACAAAGAACATTACAATTAGGCATTGAGAAAGTTTTTCTAATAAGAATGCACTGCCTGGGATTTGTAGGTTATCCTGAAAAGCCTGTTTAGGAACAGGGTGGACGAACGTGTCAGGAATGACACAGGTGAATGACTGAAAGGAAACAGAAATGAAATGGGGGATCGTACTGTACCTCGTGCTGTCCCTTCTAGCCCATCCTTTTTGTGAGTTTACAACGGGGTGTGACCTTGCAGTGGTGAAGTCAATATGAATTTTGCAGATGCTTTTATTGGGAATGGTATCTGCCATAGTTTTTTCATTAATTCTCAGTTATGATAAGGATTTCATTTCAATAACAAGAGTTTAATAATTTGAGGTTGGGGATGCTCTTTCAATGATTCCAGTGGGTATGTGAGGTTTTATAGACTGAGTTCAGCTCCTTTTGAGTTAATACAGAGACAACCCTTCCCCCCTTCCCCTTTCCTTTAGTATGTGTTGAATTAGGTCAAAAAATAAGTATTTTTGCATCTTCAGATCACCTGGTTCTTCCAGACAATGTGCTCCAGTTTATCTTCTTTGCCTTGTGGATTTGAAGAAATATGTTAATTTACTGAAGGGATCCAGATATCTGATCCAGATCTCATTTTATGTCGATGCTGGTAATTAAAAATCATCTTTTGACTTGTAAACCAAGCAAATTTTATACTGAATAAAGAGTACAGAATAAATCCTAAGGCAGCAATTTTCTCTGTCTAGAAATACACTTTAAATATATCCAGGATAATCTGATTATGTTTCCAATGTACAGAATTAGAAATTTCCTTTGAATTATTCTGACTGTCCTCACTGCTCCCTTCCTCTGCTGGAAGGGTACACAACACTGTATCAGCATCTCACACGTTTCAGTATCTCTAAAATCACCATTTCTGCGGTGATCAGGCTGCCGCTGAAACCTGGGGCCCTGTCTGCGCAGCCCATTCACCTTATTACTCTGTGTGTGCATTTTATACATTGTCCTCTTTGTCCTGCCCTACCTGCAGGTAGCGTTGTTGCTGATGCTGTTGGTGCTGGAGTTGCATAGGTGGCAGAGAGGATGGCTGGGAAGGAGGTGTAGTGGCGAACCCTTGGTTTAACACTGCTTGTCCCATCAGTACGATTGGAGAGCCGCTGCTGGAAGTCTGCACTTCCAAACTTTGAAACATTTGTTGGGTTTGAGAGTATCTGTGAAAGAAAGAAGTAAAACAATCAAGAACAAACTGTTGGAAGCAAAGGTCTTCTCTTAGGATAGGGATGGAAGTCCCTAGCCTTCATAAATAATTCCTAATAAAGGATTCCAGTGCAGGGTACCTGCTAATATGAAAGATTGCACCATTAACAGCACTGTTTTGACTTACTCTGTGCATGAGCTGGACTCAGAGGGCAGTATACATCTCATCTTAAAATCCAGACCACATTTGAGATTCATTAGATTCTGGTTTATGCACTTCTGCTCTTCGGCCACAACATTCACATCCCAGGCTCATTAAACCAAATGGCTTTTGATTCTGAATTACTATGCTGAGCTCCGAACTGCAGCGGAGGCGAAGTAAATACACCTCCCGTTCTGCTGCCTGTGCTCCCCTGCGACTGCCTGTGGGGGTGGTAATCTCTTACAGAAAGGAGGGATAGGGTTGATTACTTTTTAAGCTGCTCATATACATATTGCCAAGTATGGTCAGCAGTTCCCATAGCTGTGAGCCGCAGTGTAGGAACAGAAGAAGCCTCTAGAAGTCCTCCGGAGTGAGGGATGGGCCAGAAACAAAATACTCTGCTCTTCTTGCCAGCCTGCTTTTGCATCGCAAAACTTAAATATGTGTTGTTTTGTGGAAGGCTGTGGGCAAAACCACAGTGGAGCTATTGCCAACCCAGCCTAATTCTGTTTATCCTGTAACGGGTGATGAGATCATAGTGTGGCGTGTGTTCGCTCAGCAGCTGTTCAACATTAGGGGTTAGTCAGAAATGCTAGGGTTTGGGTACATATACTGGGATGGGAACTCCGAAAAAAGGGCCCTGTGAGTCAGGAAGTCTACACGAACTGGGAGATGTATCGTTGCAAATTGGGTCTCTTTTATTTGGATGCTTAAAAGCAGATCTAAAATGCTTTATATTTAATGTTGAAAAGTTTAACTCAAGATAATCTTAAACAACAATAGTGATGTTTAAAAAAAGGAAGTACAGAATACCCACATTTCTGAGGTGACATACAGAATTACTTTTAAAGTAATAATGTGCAAACAGCTGCCTTATTATCTTAGCAGTTCACAATTAAGTAGAGTGACAAAAAACAGCTAAGGAATAAAAAAAAAGGAAGACATTTTCTGACTGGTGTTTTCTGCTGCCTTCATCCGAGTTTTGAGGAGGCAACTGAGGTGGTTCGCTCAGCAGCTTTGGCGCGGGGCCTGTTGGTTCTGTCAGTTTTGACATGGGTGGATGAGGCACAGCTCCACCGGTGTCACACCAGTGTCTCACTGCCCAGACAGCATGAGGGGCTGTCTTGGCGCCGGTGATTTCAACCGGGCCAGTGCTTGACTTTCTCTTTCACATTTACCTTGGTGGGTCAGAAGTTCCAGGGCTGAAGGAGAGGGAGAAAAATTCCCCCCGCCTCCGCCTCGGCTTGTTAAAACACCTCTGGCACGCTGTGCTTCTCTCTGGCATCCTGCCTGACATGGGCAGGCAGCGTACGGCTGACCCCGGCACTGGGAGGCAGGCTCAGCGCAACAACACGTTCCCAATATTCTTAACTCCCTCGCCATCTTACTAAAGAAGGCTATTTCCCCTCAAAAGCAACCTTGATATTTTATTTTTGACGAGTCACATACTTAGCCTGGGATCCCGCCATGCTGAGGTCTGAAGGGTGTCTTGCGTTACAGGACCCGGGCATCATGGGCTGGATGGGCTGGCTGAGCAGCAGCCTGGCACAGGGGAAAAAAGAAAAAGCGACGCTGCTGTAACAGAAGGACCACACCAACCCCACATTTTGAAAACAGAGGCAGGACGCTTTGGTAGGCACGGCACAGGGCTGAGCGCTAGGAGATCTAACCTCCGCTCCCGGCCGTGGCAGGAGGTTTGGGGTGGACATTTGGGGCAGCACATGCCCTTTCTGGTGATGCGGGTGCCTCGCTGGGGAGGCCGGACGCGAGGATGATTTCGGGAGGGTGAAATCTCTTTTGCTCCTCCTGGGGGGAACGGCTTGTCTTTGAGCTCGCCGAGTAGTATTATTATTTTTTTTTTTTTTTGGTTGACACGTCTAGTTGGATGCCGAGCTCCTCGGCCCTCCCCCACCGCCCACCCGGGGCGGCCGGGGGGGGGG